TGCAGTAACATAAGCAGAAATTCAGAACAGATCCACTAACTTTAAAAATACCAATTAATTCATACCTTTACTTAAACACTACCAAAGTTTGTGTAAAGTCAGTTTCATAAGTTTATAATCATACTCAAGTTGAATCAACTAAATAAGATTAGTATAAAACGCTATTTAACACATAATTCGTGGATGACTCCGAAACTGTGCAGATTCGGAAAACGATTCATAACTCACTCATTACAAATCCGATTTATGCATAATTTATATCAACATGAAGCTAACCGAAAGATCTAGACTACCACCAAATTTCATAATTTTATCTTAGGGATTACCCGATGAGACATGCAATACAATCAGAAGCTACGAAACTGAAATTCAAGTAGTGTTCATCAAGAACTTTATCTTCTAAAGCTCAAAATTAAAACCTCAAACATAAAATTCATTAAAACACATATAATTTATATTAATTAGGTTATTATTTCAGTAAAGACCAAGGTCCTTACCCAAGAGCAAGAAATCGAAGATGAAGGTGTAAGAAAACCAAAGCTCGGTGGATTTTCGGCGGGTTTGGCTTGGATGTTCTTGGATGGATTTGGGGCTGAGGTTTGAAGGATGTGAAGGGGTTATTTCTTGAAGATTTTCAGCAGAATTGAAGAAGAGGGAGCTTCTCTTTTCGAGAGGGATTGAAGAGAGAAGAGGAAGGGGCTTAAGGGGAGCTTCTTGAAGTGGAAGAAGAGAATCCTTCTTGGGGGCTTTTGATCGATGAAGAAGGAAAGAGGAGAGAGCCTATTTGGCTGATGTTTGGTGTGAAGAGAATGTGAAGAGGAGGGGTTTATTTATAGGGGAGATGAGGCCCTTATTTGCAATATAAAAGACATTGGGGTTTTATTAGCAATTTGGGAGAAAATACCTTGGGGGCTCCTTAGCAATATAGAGGAGAAGAGGGGAGTCCTTTGTAATTAATAAACTAGGGAGTAATTCATTTTCCCTCACACACAACACACGGCCAATACACACACTAAAACATATAATTCATATAGATTAAATAGGATACCAATTAAACTACTAATTTCACATCATCTCAATCCTAGATTAATTACCAATTAAAGCACATCATTAAAATCCATGGACTAAAGCACATAATTCATTTAATCATATAATAATAATCATTATAAACATTTGAGCAAGCAACCACATTATAACATCTAGTAATCATCAATATTATAAACACGTATGAAGCACTTAATCAGATAATTACTAATCATAGATTAGATTAATTAAACAATGGGCGCATATAAGTTATTTAATTCAATTAAGATGCATAATACATTATAATTCACCTAATTCATGTAAATAGAATAACATGGTCACATACATTACGCAAACATTTCGGATACATATAATTATTAACTAATTCATGAATTGCATATAATATATTCTATGCATTATGAAAATGCGGGCTGTTACAATCTTCCCCCCTTAAATAAATTTTGTCCTCAAAATTTGAAAAAATTTCCCCGTAAAAGATAATGATATTAAGTTACGAAATAACGATTATTGAATAGGGGGTTAACAGATAATTTGAAAAACATCTTCTTGCCTTTTCAAAAGTGCGCCTTGATTCCAAAATATTTTGAAAATAAATCCGAACATGCTTCTTGTAAAAATTTCGGTAAGAGTTTTGGCATGACTATGATAGCTTTAGGAAAATAGTAATCGAGTCGTGTTGAAAATTTCAATTTTCATAAAAACAAAACCCAATTTTAAAATATTTTAAAAATCTCTCTTACCTTCTTTTGAAATGTTTGGAACCCCTCTGGGCCGTATGATATGAATGCATTGTATGATATGCTACACTGATCTTATCTAATCCTTATATGCACATAATGTTTACATGAACAAATAGTATCATAAACCCATAAACACCTAACATGCAAGACATGATATACATGATATACTTTAAGCGAATAAATCCATTCATACTACGAACTAAAACAAGTCATAAACCAATCAGTTGCAAATCTGTAGATAATCACATAGATTTGCACAAACATAAATCAGAAAATAAATTCACTGCCAACTTCACAGTCATACCTTTCTAGAAAACGTATTTCCTATACACCAAAGGTTTGCATGCATTTTTTTTTTTTTTTTTTTTTTTTTTGAAATATGCAAGTAAAATTAATATGCTTTGCATGTATTTTGTGAATGCGCCACATAAGTTTCACACAAGATACATATCAACTTCAATACAGGACATCGCATATATCCACATAGATTCTACCACAAATGCTAGATGCAAACTATAATCTAAAATGTACTCACATGATTCATATAGTAAGAATTTAACCTTCAAACGTTGAACCGAAAACTTTTCTATAATACGGCTTTCAGAAGAATAATTTTATTCCGGATTTCAAAACATGCATATTCATTAAAATCAAACCTTTTTAAAGTCTAATTCAGAATCTTTCTAAATCCAAATATTATTAAGCACTCATGTGTTTTAGGAAAATCAAACTTTCCAAAATCATCATTTGAAAAATAATTTCTATAATTGACCCTTCCAAAAGAGTCAACCAAAGTGCTTAACATGCAAGTGAATAATTTCATTATGATGCACATAAATCACTTAGGGATGTGGCATGTGACTCAAATATATCATAAAATGCATGAAACTCACTACCGAAGAACACATTATTCATAAAATCCAATTTCAATTCTCAAAATCTCAATTAAGTCAAGTAATCATATATCCTACCGTTAACTTCGAATATTTAAATTTCGAAAACCAAAGTATAATAATTTACTAAGAAACTTTAACTATACACATAGTACACCTAGTTCACATTATTTCACATAATCAAAATAGCAATTATCGAAATCTAAGGGCAATTAGCTCAATTAGATTCTATAAATACTTAGTATGGTCTAGGCACAATATTCTCAAATCAAAATTATCAATCAAATTCATCGATAGGAATCTTCAAAAATAATTTAGTCAACTCATAGGTGCAATAGCATACAGCCGTACTCATATACCTACAAGTATACTAGATAGTATGAGATTAATTAAATTAATCCACACACGTAGAAAAATCATGAAATTCATATATATGAATTTAAATTGCATATGTACTTAATTTGTAACAAGAGTCGATCATACCTTGTCACATAACTACCATACATGTCACATAATATTAATAGCACACTTAGTCAATTATTCCAGGAAATCGAACATGTAAGAATCGAGCACATAGATTACTTAGCGAGTTTTTTTCCTTCACGTTTCTTGATGCGCATTCGTGTCCTCGAACTGTAGCGAGTATTTTCATGATCGCTGTTGGAATCCAATTTTGACCATGTTCGAGTCCGAATTTGGAAATTTCACATTAGACAGTAATTGTAGCCAGCTGAAATAGCTTTCTAATGCCGCCGGAACTAGTCGATTTGGAGACCGGATGAGAAAGTTATGCTCGACTTCGTGGACACTACCGAAGATGTTGGGGGATCCTCTCTTCTATTTTGATTTTATTTTCCTAATTGCAACTCTTTTCTTACTCTTTGATCATTTTTGCTTCATGGACACCTAATAATCAATTTGTACCTATACAATACTAAATCCACCAATTAAAACAGAAATATAAATTAATCCATAAAAAAATCCACGTAAACGTAAAAGTTGAGTGTTATTTCTACACTCTACTGTATCGTTTGTATCTTGTGTTTTTGCTGTTGTTTGGTTATGCGCATTAAAGTCCCAGTGTTGTACTTCGTGTTTTTAAGAACGTTGTTGCGAATGCACTTTTGCGCATGTTTTTTTACATGTACGTTTGTGCATGTCCATTTGAGCGAGTGTGTTTGTGCATGTTTGATGATTTGTATTAATCTCCTAGGATTGTAGTTTGTGTTTTCATGATCCTTTTTGCGAATGCAGTTTTGCGTGAGTAATTTTGTGCATGATTTTGTACTTTTACTTATGTGCGTGTCTTTTGTAGCGAGTTTTTTCCTTCACGTTTCTTGATGCGCATTCGTGTCCTCGAACTGTAGCGGGTATTTTCATGATCGCTATTGGAATCCAATTTTGACCATGTTCGAGTCCGAATTTGGATTCCTACAAAACTCCAAACAATTAGAAATTACATATATCCATGCTTATTAAAAAAATTACATCACAACAGCAAATAAATCCCCATCAATATATCCAAGAGGATTCGATTACATAAATGCGATTATATAGTTGCACGGTAAACATAGGCCTTAAGACCCTGTTCTTTCGAATCCTATAGCGAGGTTTTGGGGCTATTAACAAACTCCTTAAATACTTTGATATTTATGGACTGAAGCAAGAAGAATAGCAGGAGTTTTGGATTGTTGGTCTTCCAACGCAGCTATTATTGAATATTAATTATTAAATATTACTCATTAATCAGCATTACGTACAATGTAACACACACATTGATGTTCAATGAATTAAAAGTGATAAAATTAAGAATAAATTAATATTACTTTGTTGTCCCTCTAATCATACCTTTTAAAAGGAAAATTTTGTCCAAACAAAAAAAGGAAGAAACCACCAACTACATTCATCCTTTTATAAGTAGTATAGATACACATACTCATTTAACCCCTAAGTCAATGAGAGTGGGTGCCCATTTCACATATAAACGGCATATGAATTTTACTATTTTTCGATGTGTATTTAAAATTCTTTTAAAACGTTATTTTAGTATGGTACTTGATCTATACGTGGAGTGTTGCACCTTTTCTTGGTGATGATAAATCATGTCCCCACAAAAGTTATAATGCTTAGTGAATTATCTATATAAGAATTCCACGAGTCCATACTAGTTATATCAAAAGGAAAAAAAGAAAGGAACAAAAGAAGAAAGATATGTAGCAACTTTATACAAATTTGATACATAGAAGTACAAAGAAAATGAAAAAAGCACAAATTACAAAAGGAAATACAAAGAAAAGATGGCTTTATGAACTTTGTTATTATATCAGCCACATAATTCTTTTTGAATGTTTTGCAATTCACTAATAACATCTTTCATCAACATTCTTTCTCTCGGCACTTCCTTTGAACACGAGACTCCAATGCTGATAATAGAAGCCATAAAATCCTCGATCTTACTACTATTTTGATGAGGGCCTATTCTAATGAGAGGATCCACAACTTCCATTACACGATCCGGTAATGCTGCGACAGCAAAATTATGAAGATTGACATGATCCATAAATGAATCATCTGTTGGTCTTCTGTTTGTGAACATCTCCAATACAAGGATGCCGTAACTATACACATCGCCTTTTGTTGTGATCGTGTTACTCATGCCATATTCTACAAATACGTACAACATATCAATTAAATAGACAAAATTTGGTGGGATTATATAATGCAATGAAAATTGTACCTGGAGGGACATAGCCAATGGTACCCCTTATTTCAATTGTGCCACTACTTTCTTGCGGTGAAAGTATGCTTGAAATAATCTTTGCTAATCCAAAATCACCAACACAAGCCGTCATATCTTGATCCAAAAGAATGTTACTTGGCTTCAAATCGCCGTGAACAATTGTTGAATTAGTACCACAATGGAGATATTCAACTGCTCGAGCAATATCAATAGCAATGTTGAGCCTCTGTTTAATGTCAAGATATCTAAGTTGGGTTTCAGATTGACCTTTCTCTTGTTCCCTATTGTAGCACAACCATTTATCCAAACTCCCATAAGCCTTCAATTCGTAAATCAATGCTTTGAAATCGTTTCCTTGGAAGTCAACGCTTTCGCAAACACTCAACTTTTTCACGACATTTTTGTGTCTTATGCCACTCAGTGCGTTGCATTCCGCCATGAAACTCTTAGAAGCTCCTTTTACAAAAAGATTAAGAATTTTCACGGCTAAAAATGTGTGGCCATTATCGATAATGCCTTTGTAAACAGATCCGAATCTCCCACGACCTAAAATATTATACTCCGAAAATCCATTTGTTGCGTGTAAGAGATCTGCATATGAAAGCCTTAAAAAAGGTATTCCTGCAGATAATGGTAGAGAAGACAAACTTGTGTTGATAGTTCTTCTCTTGTAAAGAATAATGATGAGGCACAAGATTGCTGCAACTCCAACTATTGGGATCACTACTTTTATAAGAGTGGATAAGTTATTCTTTGAGGAAATTGACGATGAAGAACATGGAGGAAAATTTAACTCAAAAATTCCTCCACACAAATTTTTATTTCCTTCCAACGAAATCGCAGTCTTATTTTTAAAGACTCCAGTTATCGGCACTTTTCCTTGCAACATATTGAAAGATAGGTTCAATTTTTGGAGATGTAACTCACTGAAGAAAATTGGGATTGTTCTAGACAAATTATTCCGTGAAAGATCTAGATTTATCAAGCCTCTCAAAGAACCCAGTTCCTGAGGTATTTGTCCTTCGAATAAATTACCCTCCAAATGTAGCCATTCCAAACTATTGCACCTCCCTAAAGAGTTTGGAACAAGTCCAGACAGTCTATTATTAGAAAAATCTAAGACTTCCACCTTTGTCAGTGAACCAACTTCAACTGGAATCGAACCCGTGAGTTCATTGTAAGACAAATTCAAGAAAACATAGCTGGTGGGAATAAGAATCTCTCGGGGTATTGGGCCAATGAAGTTGTTTCGAGAAAGATCTAATTCTCGCATGTTGGTGCAGTTAACAAGACTCGTGGGAATAATTCCAGAGAAGTTGTTTATTTGCAAGGATAGAGAGTACAAAAAAGTCAGGTTTCCAAATGCGGACGGTGCATCACTTGTAATTCTGTTATCTTCCAAGTTAAGAACGCGCAAATTAAATAGTCTACCGATGCTCAAAGGAATAGGACCCTCAAGATTGTTGTAAGAAAGTTGTAAGCGCGTGAGACGAATAAGGTTTCCGATGCCTGCAGGAATCCTTCCAGCTATTTGAGTACCATAAATTCCTAGTCTATCAAAAAGGGTTGACATATTCGCAATTGTTTCCGGAATTGAACCGGTAATTAAAGGGTTATCTCCTAAATCAAGAACTCGTAGGCTTGTGCAGTTCGTTAACGATGAAATGAAACTAATATCATCTTCAATCAAGGTTTCTGCAGCATATAAAGAATCAAGCTTTGAAAGTCCCCCAAACCTTGGCATTATCCCATTAAAATTATTAACCGACAAAACCAATAATTCGAGGGAGGAAACATTCGACAGAGAGATCGGAACACGCCCACTAAATTGATTTTTTCCCAAGACTAGAAGCTTCAGATTAGGGAGATTTAGGCCTATAGTAGAGGGTATGGTTCCATGAATATCATTAAAATCAACTTGAAATTGCTCAATAGTAGATATATTGAACATAGCTGAAGGAATAGTGCCTATGAGATTGTTTTCACCCAAATTAAGATAACTTAGTCCTTCAAGTTGGGAAAATGACTGTGGAATTTCTCCTTCAAAGCCGCAAGACCTTAAATAAAGGGTTCTTAGAGATGTTAGGTTTCCAAAAAAATGAGGGATTAGCCCCGAAATTTTGTTCTTACCCAAGCCTAGAACTCTTAGTTTCTCCAAAAATTGGATTTCCGGAGGTATAGGTCCAGAGAGATTGTTGTTTATCAAGTTAAGATAAACTAGATTTCTCCATTGGGAAATATTTTCAGGCACTATTCTTCCTGTGAACGAATTGTTGCTAAATTCTATATACTCAAGTCTTCTTAAAAGACCGATTTCTTGGGGAATTCGGCTATTGAAGATATTATTTCCGAGATTGATTTTTCTAAGGAATGAAAGATTACCTATATGAGGTGAAAGTGATCCCATCAATCCTTGAGAATACAAGTTTATGGCAATAACTCTATTCGGGTGCCTCCGACCGCATGTGACTCCGTTCCACGTGCAGAAGTTTGTAGTTCGATTCCATGAGTTTAGAGCTCCGTTTGGATCGACATTTAAGGCTTCTTTCAAGGCAAGCAACGAAAGCAAATCTGTTTGGTTACTGTTGGAGGATGCTGGAGTGTACAAGGCAAAACAAGAGAATGCCAACAAATAAAGGGTTATTATGATTGAATTTGCCATACCATTTGCGTTGATACGCTTACGCGATTTCGTGTGTTGTGTGTGTGTGTGTCTATATATATATATATATATATATATATATATATATATATATATATATATATATATATATTTGTGTGCGTGGGTGTGGGTGCGTCAAGCTAAGTCCACCAAGTCTACGCATGAAAATTAAGCATATTTGGAATTTTACTAAGTCGCCAAAATGCCAAAATTGAAAAGTTGGACCATTCTCTGGGTAGAAAACAAAATGCCAAAATTGACAATGATGTATCATTCCCATAGGAATATAATATCGTGTTTGCTTTTCTCATTTCAATTTTTCTTATTCCCATAGGTGTTTTGCCAAACAATGTTAGTTAAAATTAAGGGGTAATTACAAATAAGTATGTGATGGTCAACTTTTTCAATCTAAATCCACTTCGGATCTCTTTTACAAATAAATCCAGATAATGTTCAGAGGTGTGTAAAAAATTAAGAATTAAAATACCCTCTTATTTTTTAATATATTTTCATCCATTTAATCCCAATTTCACAAATTATTCAACTATGACTTCTAACCCAATTTTGACTCAAATTTTGGACCGTCGCGCCGCCGTTGACTGCCGGTCAACCGCCGTCCACGACGTTGACGTTTTTCTTAACCTTTTTTTCCACCGCCGCCGCGGACCGGCTGCGTTAACTTTTCTTTTTAATTTTTTTTTCCAAATTATTTTTTGGCCCGGTAAAAACTGTAAATTACCGTGGAATCATGAATCGGGTGTCTTGAAAAGGTGGCGATAATTTTTTTCATAAAAATAGGATTATCATTTAATTTAATAATACATGTTGAAGGGCTGAGTTTATTTCCATACTCCCAAAAACATTAACTGGTTTTTAACGTTACCCCTAATTTCGAACAAAAGTAAATACTACAAAAACACCACTGACAATTTATTATAACAATATGACCATTTATGAAGTCATTTTATGAATTTAACACACATTTTACAATGTCTATTTATCAAAATTATCATTGAACAATTCCAACAGTTCAAAGACATTTTTGAAACATTTTTTTTTTCAAACCGATTAGATGGTCACAAATGACAATTGTTTCTTCTAAAATTTCACTTAGGAGAAAAGTAAAAGAAAACAAAGTCATTTATTAAATCGTACAACTAATGTCCAGTACACATTTTCGGCTTTTCATTTGAACAAATATATCTCTCATACAAAAATGACCGAAAATAATAGATAGGTGTATTGGATATAAGCCCATGACAAGGGACTTTGTTGGGGCCAGATTTCGAGTTCAAGGAACAAAGAAATCCGCCACACATGGAATAAAGATTGACAAAAGATTTTATTCCATGTTTATCATTGGAATTTATATAGAGTCCTATTGTTGTATATTCTTATTAGGACTTTTAGATTTATTTCCATGTACTTTATTCTATCTAGGGTTCTTTGATTCTTATTTAGCATAGAAGTAGAAATCGTCTAGGGTTCTGTTACCTAGTTAGACGATATCTCTAGGTTCGAGTTAGGGTTTGAAGGGTACTTGGTGGCTACATAAGCCTTACAAATCCGTGAAAAGGTAATATGGAAAGCACTTCGTTTCATTAAATAAAAAGATCCTGAAAAGATCATTACAAAAAAGAGAAGAAAAGGGCAGAGCAACATCCTTAGAATGGAAACAAAACACTCCAGCCTTACTGTTTGTCAGCGCCATCTTCTGGAATCTCCACCGCCTCCTCGGCATCTCCTACCATGGTGGGATCTTAGCGACATCCAGTATCTTCACTTGATCTTCCCCTAGCATATGGCCTCAAAGCCTCATCGAAATTATTTGATTCCGGCAAGTCGAAGGCCTCTGGTTGGACGGATCCTCGATATCTCGCCCTACTTGGATTCTCGGCAGTAATGAATGGTGGATTGGCTTCCACCACCTCGATATCTCGCCCTACTTGCCATACTGTTACCCCTTCTGTGTTTGGGGCGGCGATCGCTGCGTCTCCCACCCCTCCTGACATAGCATCCTCTAAGAGGGGCGCTGAAGTCGGCGCATAACCTAATAAGCGCTCTAAAGAACTACCTAGGGGCATGGAATCGCTTGACGATTTCGACATTTATAAACACTACTAGGTTTGAAGATTTTTTGATGATTGAAGGATAAAAACAAAAAGGTGAGCAAGAAAGGAAGGGGGAATCACCTTAAAGAAGTGGTCGCCGGAGAGGATAAAGGGTATGCCGGAAAAGGCCGTGTTCGTGCCGTGGGAGAAAGAGAAAAAGGGAAGCTTGAATTGATTTTGGCAAAATTCTCGAACTTGAATACTAAGCTCCTCTCTTTTGATTGTGCAAAACTACATCAACCGTACCGTCAAGTGTATGCATCCAACGGCAACCCTTGTGCCGCGTCATAGAGCGCTTCGCCTGCCCCAATCAGCGTCAACGGCCGCAGGGACACATGGCGAATATAAAGAGACACCACATTTAATGTTTTTGACACGCTATATATTTTATATCAAAGGGACTTTTCGTGCAGTTAGATATTCACTGGGGTACTTTTAGCAAAAACCTCGATATATATATATATATATATATATATATATATATATATATATATATATATATATATATATATATATATATATATATATATATTAGCAAATTGCAAATAGGCCCATGACAAGAACACTTAATAAAAATTCAATGCTAGAATATGCCCTAAAAACAAAAATTCAGAAACAAAATTATTTTCTCAATTTTTTTTTAAAATTGTGAAAATGGGGGTTAATGTAATATATTTGTCAATGTATAATATTTTTGAAGTTATAGTATAATGGATGAAATTGATCAAAATTATATCATGGGGGTTAATTTCAAGGTTCTAAATATCGGTTATCGGGTCCGAGGCGGTTAAGGACCGCCACACCATAAATCGGTGCGGCGATGATTAATAGGAGATATATCGGAAATAAATCGGTTTTTAGATTTAGTGTAATATATTTCTAAATATTATTTGTTAATACTTAAAACGTATACAAAAAATTGAACTTGATTCTCTCCTCATCGTTTATATAATCTAATCACATAACAAAAGTTTAACATTTAGAACTTGATTCTCTCCTCGTCGTTCTAAATGATTTTATTTTTAGGCCAGGTTCTTCTTACAGGGCCAGTGAGTTTGGGTTTGATTGAAAGAGATGATGGGTTGGAATTGGAAAAAAAAAAAGATAAACACACCCTATTTTCCTTGTAACAAAAAATAAATAAATAAAAGTAGAAAAAAATTACTTTTCCGATATATCGCTCGAAGTTTGACCCGATATATCGGTTTGACCCGCCACAGACTGCCACAAACCGTCTCGGACCGCCTCACCGTCAAAAAACCGATTTTCAAAACTGCCACGCAAATATCATAAAGGTTTATGCCCGCCACCGATGTGGCGGCCGATCACAACCGATATTTAGAACACTAGTTAATTTAGACAACAGGGGATGAACTTATTTGCGAAACTGTTTTTTATATGGACATATGTCCATTTAAATCCCTTATCATGGGCATATATGTCATTTGCCCTATATTATATATTAATAGAAGACAAACTAAGAATATATGCATTGTGTATTGAAAATAGAGTCCATTACAAATAAGTCCATCATGGCATACTTATTTATAAAGGGGTCCAGACAAAAACAACTTTTACAAAAAAATCTACACATTTTCCACATGTGTGTAAAAGACTAGAATACCCCTCACATTTTAAAATGCTCCAATTTCATCATTTAATTCAATTTAACTTTAATTGACCCCAAAATTCACAAATTATTCAATTTTGACCCAAAACTCAATTTTGAGTACAATTTCCTCCGTCGCCGTGGGTCTCTGGCATTAACTTAACACCTTTTTGCCCCATTTAAACAACAATATTTTTGTGGTTGATACTCATATTAACTATATTATTGTTTAACACAGTAATATTAACTATACTACAGTTTAACACAGTAATATTGTTATATTACTCTCTAGCACAATAATAATAATGCAACAAAAATCACTATTATTGTGAAATAGAGTAATATTACTATGTTGATCGTTCAACAAATGCAAACATAATAAGAAGCCAAAAGAATTAATATTAATGTGGTTGACAGTAATATTACTGTCATCCATTATTGTCATCCACAGTAATATTACTGTAAAAACAGTAATATTACTAAAAACAGTAATATTACTATCCACCATAATAATATTATGGGGTTAATATGCTTGGGTCCCTCGTAGCAAATTTAACTAGAACTAAATGACAACCCCAAACTATTTTTTCTAAATGCATTCCTATTTCAAAATATAATATGTCTCACATCCCTAATTTTTCTTTTATCCCTAACTTGCCCTTATACCCTAAATATAAACTCTATTTATGTCTCCCAACCCAGATCTGTTTTTTTTTTCTTTTATTCTGTTTTATTCAGCGGCGGACGTAAAAAAACGGATAAAATTTATAGGGAAAACAATATTAAATAAAAAGGTCAACGCCATAGACTGGCGGTCAACGCTGGAAACCAGCGGCAAAAGCAGACCAAAAAAAAGGGTTGAAGTTTAAAAAAAGAAAAGGTCAAAATTGAATTTTTGTGGTCAAAATTAATTAAATTGAAATTAAATTGGGGTTACAATTAGGAATCGGGTTTAAAGGAATGGGGTAATTTTTTCATATATAATAATTTTGCTTTTATTTATAATATATATTAAATAGATGGGCTTATTGACGAAAAAAAATATAATCCTTGAACCTAAAATAATAAAAATGGTTATTCATGGAGTTATGCATAAAAACCCCTTAAAAATAAAGAAGAACTGCAACCGAGGGAGAGAGGAAATTTATTGCTAATATATTAGTGAATAGAGAAAATGATACAGGAATGCTGAAGAAATTGGCCTATCTATGTCATTGCGTGGGAACACATATTTATACACGAGAATTACAAGCATAGTCACCAAAATGCTAACTCATCCGATTGGTGGCGATGACGCGGAGTCTTGGAAGACTAAGTATTGGTATATATGGTTCCTTCGACCCTACACCCGGTGATAAACATCGGGTGGGTCTTCTGCTGCCACGTGTTCTTTTTTTTTTTTTTTTTTTTTTTAAAACCCCTAAAGGTAAACCCTAGCGGGGAATCTATTATAAAATATAAAAAAGAGACATGTGGCAGCAGAAGACCCACCCGGTGTTTATCACCGGGTGTAGGGTCGAACAATAATATGGTATATATTACAATACATAAGTAATTTAAAAAAAAGAAAAGAATATTGTTTTAAATAAATATTTTTTTAAAAGATAAATAAATAAATAAACAAAAATTATAATAAAAGGGGCTTTTTGAGAAAACCCCCTCACTACTTTTTTTAATGGAGGGAGACCCAAAATATTTTAGTCCATTTGAGAAAAGCCTACACCCATTTTCAGCCATTATGTTTTCCAGCTTTGCCCCCGCCCGCCACATCATCATTGGATCACGTGCTCAGCGATTATTTTTTTTTCCATTTTTTTTTTCTATCTTTTCTGTATCAGTTTCCTTAATCGACTATGAAGCATAGTCGATTAGCCTTAATCGACTATGCTTCATCGTCGATTAAGGAAATTATTTAATTTTTTAATTTTTTTTGTTTTTTAATATTTTTTTTGTATCAGGTATATTAATCGACTATGATGTGAAGCATAGTCGATTAAGAATCTGCTACTAAAAATAACAAATCACAACTGCGAAAAAAATACAAAATCAACTATATATTACAAAAAAAATATACAAATATTATAAATGATTTATACAATTGGAATCAATAAACAAAAAGTTCAAAAAAAATAAAAAAATTGGAGTCGATCAACCTTAATCGACTGCCAGAGCATAGTCGATTAGCTTAATCGACTATGAACTGATTAGCTTAATCGACTATGAACATGTACATAGTTGATTAAGGTTTCAGCATGCGCGAAATTCTCTACCGGCGCCGTCCTCCGCCCGATCCACCAAAAAACCCTAAATTTGTCTCCCCATCGTCACCACACCGCCGCCACAACACACCATCACCACCTTACTTTGATATTATGACGGTTTTTTTTATTACAAATAAATAAATAAAATCACAACTCGTACCATCAACCAAAGCAGAACCACCACCCATCAAAATCAGATTTCGGCGACAAATCGACAATCTTATCTCTATTCGCCTCCGATGTAGCATTCTTGGCATTCGAATTCAGAATCGCTATCAAAATCATTTATAATGTTTGATGGGTGCTTCATCTTCTTTCTTTCTCCATCTCCCGGCGGCGGCGGTGGCGGTGACAGTGGCGGAGAAGTCACGGAGAAAATAGAGGAAAAAAACAAAGAAGAAGAGAAAAGAGAGAAGAAGAGAAAAGAGAGAAGAAGAGAAACGTTGAGCGTGAAAACGGCGGATGAAAAAATAAAAATAAGATTACGGTTTTGAAAGAGTATAACAGACAATTAAGGGTAATTTTGGAATTATGAAAATATCACATGGGTGGAATATTAGCTAAGGGGGTTTTTTCTAATTATTTTTGGGAGGAGGTCTTTTCTTAACTCATTTTTCTAGACGAGGGGGTTCTTGCTAATTATCCCTTAAAAAAAATTAAAAAGTCATTAAAGTGGTGGGTAAATAATAGGAGGGATGGTGAATTTGAAATAAAAGAAAAACTGAACCTACTACGAAAAATAAGCAGGACTTATTTTTATTAAAAAAAATTCTAAAGGTGATCGCACTAATAATCCCTATTTTTTAAGTCAAAGTATCAAGTAGCACCGCAGTCTCAAGTCTTAAGTCTCAAGTCAAAGTCTTTTAAAGTCATTTAAGAAAAAAAAAAAAAAAAAAAAGAAAGAAAGAAAAAAAAAGTCTTTTTAAGTCATTATTAAAGATCAATATGTGTGGGACACAACCAATGAAGCATTGGAAAACCTTTGGCAAAATTCCAAAACTAATTAATTAGTAGACTTGGTGTTAGACTTCGAATGTTATTCGTATATACATACACTGAACACAACAAAAATCACAAGTCTAAAAACAATGGCGAATTCATCAAGAGTATTTTTTATTTCCTGATGATCATATAGGAAGAATAGAATTGGAGAAGGAGAGAAATAATAATACGTAATAGAAACCCCCATTGTGTTATGGGTTGATTTACATGGAATATATAGAGAAATAATACTAGGTAGTCGAGTTTAACTAGGTAACTAAATCCTAACTAATCTAGATAACTGAATCATAATAGAATCCTAATATTACAAGAGTTATTATAATATAATATACTCTAATACGCCCCCGCAGTCGAAACGTGACGAACGTGAAGACTGGACAATCACTTGCTAACACGCTCCCGCAGTCGCAACAAATAAACTTCAAAAGTGAATAAACTCCAAAAGTGAAGACTGGACAGAACCGCGAAACACAACGCTAGAGAACCCCTCTGTGAAAATATCTGCCCATTTGATAGAAAAAAAAAATAATAATAATAACGGGAGAGAGAAAAATAAACATTTTTCTTTTCGAGATAGATTGAGAGATGATATGAGAGGGGGAAAAAGAATAATTAAAAAGAAGGATAGAGAAAAAAAAAAAAAAAAAGAGATTTGAGAATAACTGACTAGGAAGAAGAAGATGTCGGAAAATAATATAAGTTACCACCACCGGGGAGGGAGAAAATTAAGTGGTGTTCATGGATCTGATAGAAAAAAGACTTATAGAGAGAAGAGTACCACCACCGGGAGGGAGATAATTGATTTGGTGGTCGCCGGCCATGGAGAAGAAGAGAGCGGCGGCTAGGTTTTAGGCCATGGAGAAGAAAAAAAGAAGAAGAAGAACGGAAAAAATAGAGAAGATGATGCACCACCGGGAGAGGGAGAAAATTCGGGTGGTGTTCATGGAAACGATAGAAAAAGAAAGATATTAGAGTACCACCACTGGGGAGGGAGAAAATTGGGTGGTCTCCGCCATGGAGAAGAAAGGCGGCTAGGTTAAAAAAACTGGTGCTCTGATACCATATAGGAATAATAGAATTGGAGAAGGAGAGAAATAATAATACGTAATAGAAACCCCCATTGTGTTATGGGTTGATTTACATGGAATATATAGAGAAATAATACTAGGTAGTAGAATTTAACTAGGTAACTAAATCCTAACTAATCTAGATAACTGAATCATAATAGAATCCTAATATTACAAGAGTTATTATAATATAATATTTTCTAATAGATCATCTTCTCTTGTCTTGCCTTACACACTCCATCAACATTCTCCAGCAATAACCAAACAGATTTTCTTTCATTGTTGGCCATGAAAAAATCTATAGATGTCGATCCAAACGGAGCTCTAAACTCGTGGAATCGAACGACAAATTTCTGCAGATGGAACGGAATCACATGCGGCCGCATGCACCCGGACAGAGTTGTTGCCATAAATTTGGGTTCCGAAGGCTTGATAGGATCACTTTCACCTCATATAGGTAACCTCTCGTTCCTTCGAATCATCAGTCTTGGAAACAATAGCTTCAGTGGCCGAATTCCCCAAGAAATCGGTCTTTTAAGACGACTTGAGTATATTGAATTTTCGAACAATTCTTTCTTTGGATCAATACCCAAAAATATGTCCCAATGCAAAAGTCTAGTTTACGTCAACTTGATCAACAACGATCTATCCGGAAACATACCACTAGAGATCAGCTTATTGTACAATCTCCAGTCTTTATACTTGGGGAAAAACACATTTTCAGGGCATATCCCTCAAACTATAGGAAACCTAACATCTCTCGGAGCAATTTCGTTAAGGTTGTGCGGCTTGATAGGAGAAATTCCCAAATCATTCTCTCGGTTTCGAAGACCAAGTTTTCTTCAGTTAGCTCAAAACAACCTAACTGGCACAATTCCTCCAGGTCTATTCAATATATCCAGTATCGTCTTTTTTGGAGTCGACATCAATCGACTTCAAGGATCAATACCCTCTAATGTAGGCCTCACTCTACCTAATATGAGGGGTCTGCACTTGGGTGAGAATCAATTTAGTAGCCATGCATATTCCAATTTCACTCTCAAATGCTTCCTCGCTCGTAGAGTTACTCCTAGCAGATAATCATTTTAGTGGGCCAATGCCAAGGTTCGGAGAGCTTTCAAATCTTCGTTGCTTGTTCGTCGCCGGAAACATTATTGAAGATGATATTAGTTTTGTTTCGTCACTCACGAATTGTACGAGTTTACAAGGTATCGATGTAGGTGATAACCCATTCGTTATTGGTTCGATTACGGACACAATTGCCAATTTGTCCAGCCACCTTGAGAAACTAGGAATTTATCTTACTCAAATAGTCGGAAAAATTCATTCGGAAATCGGGAGCCTTGTTGGTCTCAAGCACTTGAGACTTTCCAACAACAATCTAGAAGGTCCTATTCCTTTGAGCATTGGTAGAATTTTTAATTTGCAGATTCTTGAATTGGGAGGCAACAGATTAACGAGCCGTATACCGCCCGTATTTGGAAACTTAACTTTGTTGTACTCTCTATCCTTGGAAAGAAACAACTTCTCGGGAACTATTCCCACGAGTCTTGCTAATTGCACAAAGATGCAAATGTTAGATCTTTCCATAAACAACTTCGATGGCCCCATACCCCAAGAGATTCTTATTTCCACCGTTTGCAATTTTTTGGATCTATCTCACAATGCATTAACAAACTCCATCCCACTTGAATTTGGATCCTTGAGAAATCTTGAAGAGTTAGATTTATCTAATAACAAATTGTCTGGACTTATTCCGCGCTCTTTAGGGACGTGCGTTAGCTTAGAAGGACTTTACCTACATGATAATTTGTTTGAAGGGGAAATACCTAAGGAACTAAGTTCTTTGATGGGCTTAACAGATTTGGATCTTTCACTTAATAATTTGTCCGGAAGTATCCCAAGTTTCCTCGGAAACTTGAATCTATCTTTTAATAGCTTTCAAGGACGAGTGCCGACTACTGGAGTGTTCAAAAATACGAGCGCAATTTCTCTGGAAGGAAACATAGAATTGTGTGGAGGAATTCTTGAGTTAGACCTTCCTCCTTGCACTTCAACTTCAGTTGCATCGAAAAAGAAAAACTTATCAACTCCTCTCAAAATTGGGATCCCGGTAGCGGGAGTTGCGGCAATTCTATGCTTCGTCGTTTTTATTTACAAGAGGAGAACACCGGACAAAAATATGCCTTACGTACCTTCATTCACCGGGATCCGTTTCTTGAGCCTTTCGTACGCGGATCTTCTAAAAGGGACGAGTGGGTTTGCCGAGACTAACTTGGTTGGTTTTGGAAGATTTGGATATGTATATTGAGGCATTCTTGATGACGGGCCAACAATTATATATAGCTGTGAATGCTCGTGAAAATAGTGAGTGTTTGTGAAAGCATAGACTTTCGAGGAAACGATTTCAAAGCATTGGTCTATGAATTTAAGGCTAAAGGGAGTTTAGATAAATGGTTGTGCTGCATTAATAGTGAACAAGAAGGAGAATTTAGAAATCTTGATTTGATTGAGAGGCTCGGTATTGCCATTGATGTTGCTCATGCACGCGAATATCTTCATTGTGGGATTGATTCAATAATAATTCATGGTGATTTGAAGCCGAGTAACATTCTTTTGGATGAAGATATGACGGCTTGCGTTGGTGATTTTGGGTTATCGAAGATTACTTCAAGCATACCCGAAAGCAGCAGCAGCAGCACAATCGGAATCCGGGGTACATTTGGATATGTTCCACCAGGTATGATTTTATTAAGGGTAAATTACAACCACCCTCCTGAGGTATGGTCAGATTACGAAAACCCCTCTTGTTTGGATAATTACAACCACCCCCTCAACTCCTCAAATTTAGTGGAATCTTCGAGATTATATGGAATATTATCACTTTTCTACCCGTTTTATCACACTCGAACTCTACATTTTGAAGCAAGATGATCATAATATGTGTTTTTTGGCTTGTATATATCAGACTATGGTGCATCAGAAACTGTATTTTTACTCAAAACGAGTACAAACTAGAGCACATTCCACAAAATCTAGATGATTATGTTGAATTTGACACCATAAGGGTGGAGGTGTAAGAAAAGAACATAGTTGAGGGGGTAGATGTAATTATCCAAACAAGAGGGATTTTTGTAAATTGACCATACCTCAGGGGTATTTGTAATTTACCCTTTTATTAATTATCTTTGTTCTTCAATAGACTCCAACTTTTTTTTTTTTACTCTTATCAATAAATGCAGAATATGGCATGAGTAACTCGGTATCAACAAAAGGGGATGTATATAGCTACGGTATTCTCGTCTTGGAGATGTTCACGAATAGAAGACCAAGTCCAACCGATGATTCTCTTAGTGAAAATGGTAATCTTCAGAATTTCGTTAGCGCTGCTTTGCCTAATCGCGTAATGGAAATCGTGGATCCTCTCATTCGAATGGGGCCGCACATGATTGAAACGGTAAGCTGGAAGATTGCATGTGCTCTATTATGAGAATCGGATTGTCGTGTTCGACGGAATTGCCGAGAGAAAGGATGTTGATGTCTGATGTTGTTAGGGAATTGCATAGGATTCAAAAAGAATTGTGTAGCTGAAAACAGTCTTATTTTAAAGGAGTAATAATTTGTATCTCCGGAGTTATGACTATTTGGCAACAACGCCACGTACTTTTTATATTTGTCATCCACATCCCCTAAACTATAATAAATTGACACCAACACTCCTTGCATCTATTTTTTACATTTATTTAGGTGAGAATTAAACTTTGAAGGGTCAAATAGCCTTTTTCATAAAGATTCCAACTCTTTTAAAGTGAAAATTTTATTCCACACATTTTTATAAATTTATTTTAAATTTGATTATGATCAAACCTTAATTTCTTTTTTTTCTTTCCGGATTTTTGTGCAACTGACCAACCATCTTTATTATTCTAGGTTCAGGGGTTATATCTCTTTCGTTAATAAGCCCTTCCGTTTAATATGTATTATAAATAAAGGAAAAATTAATGTGTATGACAAAATAATTCCCAACCCTTTAAACTCAATTCCTAATTATAACCCAATTTAACTTCATCTTAATCAATTTTGATCACAAAAATCCAATTATGACTTTTTTTTAACTTTTCTTTTTCTGAAATATTTTTTTACCGCCGGTTTCCGGCATTGACTTTTTTTCGTGTTTTTTTAAATTTTTATTTATTTTTTTTATTTTTTCTTTAAAATTTTTATCCATTGTTTTACACGTTGACCGTAATTGTACAGTCATTCACAGTAATTATACTATCGCTGACAGTACATTTTTACGTAATTTTACTGTCGTTAACAGTACATTTACGTAATTGTATTGTCAGCGACAGTACAATTACTGTCAACCACAACAATATTATTATTTTTTGGCATTTTGTTTGATTTGTTGATAAGTCAACGTAATTATATTACTATCGTTGATAAAAAAATTACTGTAAACAGAATAATATTACTGTCAAGCACATCAATATTTTTTTTTTGCTTTTTTGTTTTGATTTGTTGACCAGTTAACGTAATAATATTACTGTCTACTATTGTAATATTACTGTAAACACAATAATATTACTGTGGTTACGGTAATATTACTGTGGATGACAGTAATATTACTGTATCAACCACATTAATATTACTTCTTTTGGTTTTTTTATTATGTTTGTCTTTATTGAACGGTGAACATATTAATATTACTCTATTACACAATAATAGTGATTTTTGTTGTGTTAATATTATTGTAATAGAGAGTAATATAGCAACATTACTGTGTTAAACTGTAGTATAGTTAATATTATTGTGTTAAACAATAATATACTTAATATGAGTGTCAACCAAAACAATATTGATGTTTAAAAAGGGCAAAAATATGTTAAAAGTAAAAAATAATTCTAAAAAAAAAGAAAAAGTCAACACCGGAGATCGGCGGTAAACGGCGGCGACGGACGAAATTCTACTCAAAATTGAATAATTTGTGAAATTTGGGGTAACATTGAGGTTAAATTAAATTAAATAATGAAATTGGAGCATATTAAAATGTGAGGGGGCATTTTAGTCCTTTATACATCTCTCGACAATGTGTGGACTTTTTTGTAAAAAAACTTTTTTGTCTGTATCCCTTTATGAATAAGTATGGATGATGAACTTAGGTGTAATGGGCCCATTTCTTTCTTCTTAAATTTTACTTTAACAAAATTGATTTTGTTCTCCGACAATACTAATTTCAATTGAGCCGTCTAATTTTTACATCTAGCCAAGAAAAACCGAATCTATTTTGTGTGACACCCCTTTATTTCTGAAAATATATATGAGGAGTTCCTATCGATTTTTCTACCCTAGTCCAAAACCAAATTCTAGTTTTAGTTTAACTGATCCACCTGGGCAACTTAAAGTACTAATTATACCCTGTAATGTAAGTACCAATCCTAGCCACTCACGTCATGCCAACCCACAACCACCCCCACTCCGCTCTTTCCCTCTCTCTATGTTTCTCTCCCAATGCTCTCTTCTTCTTCTCTTTTTCTTCCTAGATTCATTCTTTTCCCTTTCTATAGCTCTCTTTGACATTCAGCCTCTCTTCACCGTTCGATCCGCCTCGAAGTTGCCGCCGCGAGATCTGAGGCCAAAGTTAAGGAAGGGCAAGCCATACAAACCCTAAATCTCGTTATGACATTTCTTCGTCGCTGTTGCGCCGCATTGGATTTTCGCCACTCAAAATGTTCTATTTTGCCACCATCCCTATCTTCAGCCACCGGTCATCCGGCGATGTGATCCAGCGACGCCTTCGCTCATTTGGCATGGCGGCATCCTTTCCTCCGATCCGAACCATAGGCCGCGACAAAACACTCTAGATCTCTCCAAGGCTAATTCCTCTACACGATTCCTGTTGCACTAATGCAACAATCCGCTGCGCAATTACGATTGCCCTGGTCATCGCTGCCGCAAGATCAGAACTCTTTACTTGAAAATTTTGAGGTCGCCGATCTGAGGTTATTTAATTGGTTGATGTTTTGCACTTTAAGGTAGGAGTAATATGTATCTTGATCTTCTGGATTCATTTGAAGCGTTTCTCAAAGCTAATTATTTTCTGTGAATGGTTCTGCATATTTGGAATATGGATGAAGATTTAACTATAGATAACTATAGACATATATAGTCATATGTAGTAATACTACATATATAGTTACATATAGTAACATGTAGTCACATATGCATGTGATTGTGTATTTCGATATGTAATTGTTGGTTATGAGTTGATTTATAATGTAAATATTTAAAGGTCTTGGTGTTTGAACAACTTCTATTCGCTAAGTTTTTGCCGAGAGGACATGGTCTTCGTCAATTCAAAACAGTTCTTTTGCAACCGATAGATCAGAGTTGTTATCGTCTTGAAAAGTGGGATTTGAAGCAAAACTACGCTATATATGACTATCCTCATATAGTCACATGTGGCTATATACATGTAGTCATATATAGTCACGTGTAGTAATATATAGTTACTAGGCAGGTGCACGTGCGTTGCACGTGTCGTAATAATTTTACTGTATATTTGTTATTTTTACATTATGCTTGAGACATATTCAGAAATAATATATTTTTATGTATATTTAATTTGTCTAAATTATGTTTTGAGACAAGTTAAACTTTTTTCATTATATATAATAAAACATTTGTTATTTATGTAAGCAATTTTGCAATATTCTTAAATCATTGTTTTTCATCTTCATAGTTTAATTTGTTGTTTTTAACAGTCAAATTATGTTTGAAGGAAACAGACTCTTTTGAAATGTTTGGGGATAATTTTTTTTTTTGAAAAGCTTAATTTGATATGTTTTGGGTGAGAGTTGGAAGAAAATGAGAGAACCAAACATTGTGTGACAATCAAGATCAGTCTGTACCATAAATTAATCACATATGTTTTTTAAATAAGTACAATAAACTAATATTATCACTTTTTATTTAGTTATATAATTTGATTATCATGATACAATAGTCATTTTTTTACAGTGAGCTCGTACGAATCCACATGAAATAGATGATAGACCCCATAAATAGATGTATTTCATATTATACATCAACATAAGTAAAAAAAAAAATAAAAAAAAAAAATCAGACAAACGATAATATACACACAAAAAAATCGACAAATAACTATGTACACGGGGAATTTTTTTTCTCTTCCTTATGCCTCTTCTATACTGAATGATGCATGGTGAGAATGCCATACTATAGTGTGTATGTATACTGTAAGCAATTTCACATTAGACAGGAATTGTAGCCAGCTGAAATAGCTTTCTA